ATTTGCCGGTGAGTTTTCTTGACTCGTTAGCTTGAATTTTGTTGTGACGATGATACCTCGCTCTGATGATTTCCCCATATGACGCACGAAAGCTCAGCACGTGTTCACCGGAATCGAAGGAGATTGCCTCGGAAACAGCGTCAGCGTGAATCTTCCAGTAAAGCCAATCGACAGCTGGTCAAGAGGAATCGGCCGTCGTCTTCTGGTGGAACCAACCTTCGAATACTTCACCAAACACTTTCACTCGAAATGGAAGTAAGCTCAACAATTATGAAACAAGAGATTCCTCGAAACCTAACTTTTCTTCATATTTATTTGCACAGCTCACCTACTCGAAATGGAAGTAATCCCAACAACTATGAAACAAGAGATTCCTCGAAACCCAACTTTTCTTCATAGACTCGAAATGGAAGTAATCCCAACAATTATGAAACAAGAGATTCCTCGAAACCCAACTTTTCTTCGTATAGAGTATTTTCCCCCATAACAGAGAGTGAGTCGTCTGGCCCTTTACCTGCGTGTGTGCATGTATATATATATATACATATGTGTGTGTGTGTTTGCAAGTCTGGTCATCTTTGAAGCACGAACCCTGTACTATGTCTTTTTGCCTGGTTGACGTCTGTCTTCATTGTCTGCTTGAGGTGGGCATGACGACAACAGCAAAGGACAAAGTTCAGATCACGCTCTTCGAGGTCTCTCCGGCCAGCAGGACCAGGTTGCGAGGTATTTTGGCCCACTCCACGCACTGCCGAAACATGGTGATACAGCTCTTTGGTTGTCCGGGATGCTCGAAATGGCCCGTTTCCTCCAACGCTGCTCAGAGCTCACGAAAGCTCAGCACAGACGTCGTCTGCAATGTCGACGCCCACCCTCTGTGGGAAACATTTCCATTGCCTTGACACTTTACTCGCCTACTCGCCCATTTTAACTGTCGTTCGGCGAATCTTCCCATTGTCTCATTTCACAATCCGGCTGTACCCACAGACCTGCTATATCCCACGCCTATGGCCATTCGAAGCCACACGAGGGCCTGGTAGGTGGAAGCATTTGGCTTCTCTGATTTGTGCAGATCATAGGCTCTTCATAGGGACTGAAGAAGGGAAAAAGAAGTTGTGGGTTGAACCACTTATATAAATCGAAAGGAGACTGCCGCCATACCAACGGCCGCAACATCTCGATCCTCATATCTTCATACAACCCTAATTCACATTAGGAAATTTAAGGGCCGATACAAAAGTTCTTCCCACATTGCGAAGAAACATTGGACCTCGAGGAGTCTCTTCATTTATCATTGAGGAGCTCATTGACACTTTGAGTAAAAGTGATTTATGCATTATTAGAAAAATACAACTATCAGTCTTTAATCACCCTAACGAAATGGGGTGAATATATCCGGCATACATTACAGTTTTAAGCTGATTTCCATTTCGACTGAAAGCGTTTGTGATGAAGAGATTGGCATAGGTCGATCCAACCTGAACGCGTCTACGAATTATTCTTGACCAGCTGTCAGTCGGTTTTGCTGGAACATTCTTGCGAAAGCCATCCCCTAGGCAATCATCTTCAATTCAGGTGAAAGCGTCCAAACTTTCGTCCATTATACGAGGAGAATCCCCAGACCAGGTTATCATTATTACAATCATATTCGAGAAAAAGAATCAAAAAGGCTACCCGGCAAGTGCCATGATCTCGGATCATGCAGGCGCAGAAGGATATTTAGCAAATGAAAATTTGGTTTATAATTGCTGAACTTACCCGGGAATAGAGAGGCGAAAAAAT